TCACTAAATTACCCTGGGTGGGCTCAAACTTGCAATCCTCCTACCTCAGCCTCCCAGAGTGCTGGGATTACAACTGTGTGCCATCATCCCCGGCTGCGGGTAGTGGTGGTGGTAATTTTTTAAAAACAGAGCCAACAAAACAATGTGAACTCATAATGATCCTAAGTGCAATGGGAGGGGGGGGAAGAGTTCATACTATTCAGTGAGGAGGGGCAGCTCTCCATTAAAAAGCGTTAGCAATCCTGATTTTGCCGTGAGTGTGACCTTAGTTCACAGAATTAATAAGCAATAGATTTCTCAGTAACAAATGCTTTAATATTAACTATCTGTGAACCACTCCATATTTTACTGTGGTTTAACTTTTAAACTGGAGATAAGAGAAAATAGGGAAGAGGGTATTTTGTTTCCTGGATTCAAAAAGGTCTGTGTCCCAAATTTTTCTTATTTGAATTACAAATAAATATCTGCGTTGTGCCTTGATGTCTTCAAGTATATTATGGTTAGTACTCAAACAAGCACTAATATTAGCCTTCTATTACCCAAAAAAACAAACAAAAACATTTTTCCAGACAACACTCAAGAGAGATCTTTGATGTGTGTTATAAACATTCATGCCTGTGAGACCGTTGGTAACGGCGAGGCCAATCTCTCCATTCATGCACAGAGGATCTGGCTTAACACAGAGTCACTGTTCTGACAGAGGAAGAGACAAAGCACTCCTCTGAGACTTCCGCCAACTGGCACAGGTTACATTGAATGAACAATACGTACTGACATTTGTGTCTTCCACAATTCATGATAAATAAGCAAACTGGTTATTTGTAATCAGCCAAACTTGCTTCTTTGAAAAGGCTGCTACTGGACGTTGCAGAGCTCATGTTCCTTCCCAGTATTAGAAAGGAAAAAAATCAAGTTACATTTATAGCTAGTTTTATAGTTTCAAGCTCTCTTGTAGCAATTACATCTCTTTCTACAAAAGCAAAAGCTGAAGTACTCTCAAAACTTCAATTAACTATTCTACGTTAGTTCACAGTAACTTCACAATTCAGTTTGGTTTTCATCATCCCTGCAATGAATGAAAATAGCCTCCTCTCTATTAAATTTAAACCTAGTTTATGTAAAACTGATGCTAAATTATATTGACATGTATTAACCAACATTTTTATGTTTAATAATTTCCTACAGATTGTACAGCTATGACTCCTGTTCATATTTTCAAAAGGACCTGCTCCTGTCCTTGTTAAACATGGGACTTTTCCTTAGTGCACTAAAACCAACACGAATTCTAAACAAAACTTCCAGGACAGTTAGAGCGTTTGCTTATGTCTCATCTCACACAAAATTAAGCGCCGTAAGAGACAGATATTTGTGGGACACAAACTGTGAGTGTGAACCTAAGCAGAAGGCTTTACCTTGGCTTTCTGGTACATAACCCTTAGAGAACTGCACCAAAGAGCAGTTATTTCACTGTCACTATGGAAATAAAGGAAATTAGACATCTCACAACATCAAAAGGAATAAATATGAGAAAACTGAGAAAATTTTAAACCAAGTCACTTGAAGTACTTCTACTTAATATTTGACTGTCAGAGGTAAAAAGTTCAAGAGCTTAAAATGAGAAGGAAAAGAAAAGTAGGGACATACTAAACTGGTCCATCTATAATTAAGCAAAACAGCAAAATACTCTGAGAAAATACATGGGCCTATCATTATGTGCTGTAGTCTTCAATTACCATGTTAAGGAAAGAGTAAACTGTGGCCCACCTTAAAGGCTACAGTGGCATTTACACAGCTGATCAAGGAGACACCAATTATTTCTGTACAAACACACATACATATATAGAATGTATGTGCTTTCTTATAAAGTACAGTGAAAAAGGAAAGCAAAACCATTTGAGTTATACTATATTTAATTTAATTGTCTTTAGCCCATACATTTCTTAAAGTAGTAGGATTTATTATATGGGTCTCCATATTAATTCCACCACATGTCCTATTGCAAATCCTGATAATTTACTATCAATTCTGGCATTTTAAGAACAAAGGCCTCAATATAGGCCATAGATATCTCCTTTCATGATAGCCCAGATTCATTTCAAACAGTTGATCATAAATCAGCAATTTGATTGCACCCATGCCAAGAATAAGTAACAGAAATTTGAAAACTGAGCTAAAAACCTTTGAAAAGCAATTTACTCCATATCAAAATCCCTGGCGCACTGTTGTAGGAGCTGTCACAAGAGCTCAACTTTTATTTTACCTGCTCATATCTTACTTTACTTTCTTTCTCTACCACACCATTTCAGAGTCCCTGAATTTGGCTCCTCTCCTCATGCTGTCACAGTATTCCCAACAACCAATCGTCTACAACAGCCATTAACATTTGAAACTCTCAGGTGGCAACAAGTGTCCTTGTAGACTGCAAAATTTGAGAATGAAAAATTTTTCAATTTAAAGTGGTAAGTTCCATGATTTTACTAAATTTAAGTTTCAACCAAAAGAGCACACTTGAACTAAATTAGCTATTAATAATATACATTCCTACCTTGAAGCAAAGCTTTTTCCAACAAAAATGAGTTCATTTTTTAATAAAATAAGTTTTTAAGTTTAATAAGTCAATTGTGAGATTGCTAGACATATGCTGCTTATCTCTTAGAAAAATCACTCATTGCCTGCCTGTTCTGATGAGATGCTAGCAAGCATGATCTTCACTTTTCATCAGTAAGTGTAGCTTCAGGAAGGGAAATGGAAACTTAAACATTTAAAAGATAAAAGCACACTGAATAGCTAAATGTAGTAGAGTATTTGCCCCCAAAGTTAGAAAGGTTCATAAAACATACTTCATTCTATTTGTTTGGTAAGAGCTGACTCCATTTCAAGTAGCTTTGATTATTCTAGTTCTTTTTCTGAGTTATCCAAATTTTCTTCCGTAAAAATAAGTAAGAATATAGAATTCTATTTACACAAATTTTATTTCCAGGCATTTCTATTATACTTAACTACTATAAGGTAATACCTTCCAGACAGCTAAAATTCCCAAAAGATGAAGTATTAGCTGATAGTGAACCTTTACTGGAGGAAATACTGTCCCGTTACAGGCTGGGTTGCAGTTGACTTTTACAAAATTATTCATATACTAACCCAGCACATTCTAGAGCTAAGCTGTCCAATATAGCAATCATCAGCTACACATGACTTTCTATTTTAATTCACTAAAATTAAATTTTAAATTCAGTTCGCCAGTCACACTTGCTATATTTCAAAGTGTCACATGTGCCTGGTGACAACCATGCTGGACACCACAGATACAGAACATTTCAGAACTTCACTGCAGCACTGCTCTACAGCATAGAATTGACTCCTAGTTTAGTCTATTACTAAAAGGGCATAGTGTGAGTACTTAAATGGCTTCTATTTAAATTAGAACTAGGAACCAAAGCCTTATCAGAATTAAACAACAATCATATCACAATTTCAGGAGCTATTTATCATTCAAGTATTTTAAAAAGTACTGCTTAAATGCAAAATGCACAAAAGAGCAGAAGTGAGACTTAACTGTTACAGAATGTAAGTGGTCCTACAGAAAAAAAAGTGCTAAAAAGACTGATTTCATTAAAAGGTGCCAAAAGGACATCAATTAAAAATTATGCTCTGAAACAGCAATTTGATTAAATAAAAGAAACCAAACTGCATAATAAACACAAGAATCTTTCTGCTTATATATTTTCAGTAGAAGCCCGGTGTTTTATGTAGGTAGCCCTAGTTGTGCACCAGTACCTAATAACTGACTTCAGATGTCCTCAGCAATGTACAGCTCCAAATATTCTAACATGTTTCCTGTACTTCCAGATCTTAACCACTTTCACAGTTTAACACAGTCAAGGAAAAATTACCTAATGAAAAGATTCATTCACATTATGACAATTTAACCAATTAGATTATCAATTTTTTTATACATTTAAGCACAGAATCAAGTATCACAGACATGGACATGACCTGCTTTTTATTTTTTATTTTTTTATTTTTGGGGTTCTTTCAAGACAAGGTCTTGCTATGTAGTTCAGGATGTCCTTAAACTCACTATATAATCCAGGCTGACCTCAAACTCATGGTGGTTCTCACACCTTAGCCTCAGCTTTCCAAGTGCGTGCCACCAAGTCTGGCATGATCTGCTTTTTTAGACTGAGTTGAAATAGACTGGTCTCTTAAAAAATTTCATCAGAAAACTGTTCTTCTCTATTTTCTGAAGATACTATCCACGAGTAAAATGGGTATCAACCTAACAGTGTTATAGGTATGATCAGTGAAATGGGGAAACAAAAAAAAAACTCATTTTGGATATCCTGTAACTGGATAAAACAATTCCAAAAAAGGTATTTTAATTGAATTCCAAAACAATACAAAAAAAGGTATTTCAATTGAAAATTAAATTGGACTAATACAAAAATTTAGAAAGACTACAAATCTAGTATATTCTAATAAAGGTATCTCAGAGAAATCGTTAACAAAGGCAGCTGCAGTGAGAGCATACTTTGTTAAATGGAACTATTTTCTAAAATGTTTTTGAGTTTTAACTAACACATAATAATTGTACATATTTATGGTATAAAATCTTTTTGATTATGCTACAAAACGATTCTTTCTCCACATTAGAATTTTACAATCTAAGTCTGAACTGAAATTTCACTGTAGAAAATCCAAGCAAGCACTATAAGACTTAACTAAAATTATATTTTCTTTAGATGCAAAATGACAATACTTGTTTCACTAATATTACTTGTTTTACGAATATACTAAGTACTAATATTTACTAATATAAACATGAGTTAATTTAGAATGTGAATAACAAACCAAGTTTTGTACAAACCAATTAAAATAAAAGCAGTACATTTAAATATCTTTAGTATAACACTAAAGTATTTAGAATCTCTTTCCAGGATCTTAGGAAAGAAGATCAGAAAGGTCAACAACCCCCCCTCCCAAGGAGCCCCTGAACTCACCATTTGTAAGATGGCACCATACAGTCGCAAGAGCACTTTCCGAGGCTCATCACCCACCGAGGCTGTGGTGTCAGGTAGGGAGCACTGGAACAGCATGTTACTGAGGCCACCCCTGTTGGAATCAGAAGATGGTGAGGACTCATGTTGTGGAGATGAAGTATGTCCCTTTCTTGGTAAATACATACAGAAGAGAAGTCAGGGTTATAAAAGAACTGTTCTCATCTAAGCTCCATATATTCTCTCAGGATACGTGGAACATGAATGATGAGCTCCACTTTTCAGTTAATTCCATGAGCCAAATTAAAAACAGAAATGCCCAATCTGTTCTTCTAAGCATAGAGGTGGGGAGTTTTTGTTTTTGTTTGTACACAAAACTGCCAGTGTATACCTACAGAATGAATGACAAGAACCTCCTCAGCACTAGGAACAGGACACATAATCCATCTCCTTAGGCTCATATTCTTTTAGAATCCAAGATTTTCACTATACAAGCTCATCTCCTGAGCGGTTTTTTGTTGTTGTTTTGTTTTGTAATGCTGGGAGGGAACCCAGGACCTCGTGCTCAAGCTAAGTAAGTAGCAAGAACTCTACCACTGGGCTACACTGTCAGTCCCTCCATTATACTCTCATAATCACTCTATAAAATCTTGGGGCAGGCCAATGTGCTAGTGCACACCTGTAATCCCAGCCACTCAAGAGGATCAGGCAGAAGGATTCCAAGTTAAGGCTAACAAAAATCTTGGGGCAATATTCAAACCTTCACCTCCAGGGCTTCCCATTTAGTATGTGGTTCCAAGACCTACCTTTTCTCTGCTAGTGTTACCAAAAATTCCTCAACTGATTTTGAGTCTCTTCAAAAATCTTGCAACATTAACTGGTTATTGGAGCTCTCCATGAAGCCCAAAGAGACCTCAATATCCTACAATCAAATTCAGCTGTCTACTAAGACCAAAAGCAAGTTACAGAGCCATTTACACAGGAAAGCAACAACCTGGGGACAAATTATCTGCCTGTGTACAAAATGATCAGGTATCGAAGGTTAGTTATGCAATAAATGCAAAATACAAAATACTACACAATGAGGAATTACAGATAAGAGGTACTTCAGCTGTGGTAGACTCAAGAGTCTCTAAATTCTATTCTTATCTAGTCAATAAATCTTAGCAACTATTTACATAAGAAAAGCACCGTGGTAGAAACCTGGGCAACATCAGAATCAAAACATGAAGCCACATACCAGTAATCCCAGCACTCTGGAAGGCTGAGGCAGGAGTTATATGAAGTATGAGCCCAGCTAGGGCAATTTAGTAGTGACTAGTGTGACCCTGTCTCAAAAAATACTGGTGGCTCAGACCAGTAATCCTAGCACTCAGGAGGCTGAGGCAGGAGGACTGTTTCAAATTCGAGGCCAGATTGGGCTACATAGTGAGTTCAAGGGCAGAACCACATAGCAAGAACCAAAAATAAAGCAATAAATAAAAGAGGGACAAAAAATTGAAAAATAAATAGCTCAGTGCCAAGACCCTTAGGTTCACTCTCTAGTACTGCAAAAAGGAAACCCAGTGGAAACATGCTCTGGTCCACCCCTTCAGGAAATTTCTGCTCTGCTAGGTGCAGTGGTGCACACTGTAAACCTAGCAACTGTAGAGACTGGGGCAGAAAGATTAACATTTGAGGCCAGCCCAGGCAATTTAGCAAGACCACGTCTCTAAAAGGGCTAGCTAGAGATGTAGCTCAGCTCCTGGATTGGATCTCCAGTACTGTTAAAAGAAAGTAAAGAAGAGGAAGGAAAAAGAAAAAAGAGAAAAACTTCTAATGGAGAGAAGACAAAACTCTAAGAAACAGCACAAATTTATCTTACAGTTCTAGTGTTCAGAAGTTTGAAAACAAGGGTTTACTTATTTATTTATTTTTTGAGACAGGGTCTCACTATATAGTTCAGGCTGGCCTGGACGTACTATGTAACCCAGGCTGGCCTTGACCTCATCGCAATCCTCCTGCTTCAGCCTCCCAACTGCTGGGATTATAGGCATGCGCCACCACAGTTGGCTTGAAAACAGGTTTTACAATGGCTAAAATTAAGGGATTGGCAGGGCCGTAGATCAACACACACAAGATACTGTAAATGGAAAAAGATGCTGACTGGGCCCTAATAAGGGCTTTCAGTGGGAAAGGAGGATCACTGTTTAATGGGGATGGAATTTGAGTTTGAGAAGAAAAAGTTCATGTACATTACAACAATGTGCACGTGTTTAACACCACTGAACTATGCATTTAAAAACAGTTAAAATGGCTGGGGATATAGCTCAGCGGCACAGCACCTGCCTGGCAAGCATGAGATCGTAAGATCGTAAGTTTGATTACTGGTACCAAAAAAAAAAAACAAAGAAAGAAAGATTAATTAATTAATTAATTAATTTTTTAAAAAGTTAAAATCGTAAAACTTCATGGAGTTTGAGGTCACACTCAGTAATCCAGCCAGACTTTCCTCTTCTCTCCCTCTTCTCTCTCCCTCTCTGAGTGTGTGTGTGTGTGTGTGTGTGTGTGTGTGTGTGTGTGTTTGTGCGTTTTACTAGAGATTGAATGAACCCAGCAAGGGCCTTCAAACTGAGCTACAACTCTTTTTTGTTTATTTTGAGACAGAGCCTTGCCAAGTAACTAAATGGCCCAGCTGGACTTGAACTTGGGATCCACTGGCCTCAGTCTCCCAGAATGCTGGGATTAAAAGCATGTGCGACTATGCCTGGCTTCTTGTCTGTCTTTTTTTTTGTGGTATTAGGAATTAAATCCAGGCGTGCTCAGTTACATCTTCATCTCTTAAATTTTATTTTTTCAGACAGGAATTCAGTAAGTTTCCCAGGCTAGCCTCAAACTTGTTATCCTCATTTCTCAACCTCCCAAGTAGCTGGGATTACAGAATCGTGCCACTACTAACAAGACCTTGTCTCCTAGAAAGAATAAAGTGCTAATAGATGCTATATGCTACAACATGAATCCTAAAAACTTTACACTAACTGAAAGAAGCTATTCGCAAAACTACATATTATGTGACCACATTCATATGAAATGTCCAGAACAGGGAATCTACAGCAACTAAAAGTGCATTAGTGGTTGCCAGGGACTAGGATGGGCTGGGGGAGGCAGGAGGTGGCAACTAAAAGGGACAGGGTTTCTTTCTGAGATGATGAAAATGTTCTACAGTCAACTGTGGAGACAGCTCCATGTATCTGCGAACATACTAAAAGGCACTTAATTGTATACTTTGAATGAGTGACTATAAATGATACAGTAGTGAACAAAGCATAATAAAGCTGTTTTTAAAAAAAAATGTGATTTTTTTTTTCTTAACCAGTTAAAAAACTAAGTGTGTTTCTAGACAATTTTCCCCAGATTTAAATATGTCATAATTAAGAAGTTTTCTGCAATCCCCAGGGCAGCAATTCCTCCAAGTAGTTTTTCAGAATCCCTAGCCACTTCCAGTCAACAACCAACATGGGCTTCTGGTTACCAAGCAACAGGACAGGGATTATATCTGAGTTAAAAGCCCTTGTTTTTTCTTCTTGTCACATACTCTTGAAGCTCAAATAAATGCCAGAGCAAACAGATGAGCTACTGTTCTAAACTGTGTGACTTGATTCGAAGTTTGTCCCCTACTCCCACACAGAAGGAAGGAAGGCTGGTTGGCCAAAACGAGCTCATAACCTGGAAATCCTTCATCTATTGTGTTCTCTGCACTCTCTCTGGCTCATGGGCTTTAATGACTAAGCTGTCAATGACTGTTTAGTGAAAGCCAAAATGAATGAGGCAAGGTCTTTGGCACCAATGCCCAAAACTGCTAAAAAAGAAAAAGCCAGTGAGCAATGAGTCACATACTATGACTAGGAATAAGATGATCTAGGTGTACTAGGCAATGTTTGTAATTCTTCTAATAATCTTGCTTTTTCTTATTTCACACTTTCTCTTCAGCAATTTAGTAAGATGCTGTCTCAAAACATACATACATACATGGTTGGGAACATAACAATGTGAAACCCTGGGTTTGATGCCCAATATGCCCCCTAGAGAGACACACACACAAAACAGGCTTTGAAGTCTAGTCCAGAGGGAGTCCTGAGTCTGCACAGATGATCACTCTGACCTTGGCCGAATTACTCAATACCTCTAAGCCTAAAGCAGAGGAATTTAGTAGAGATTCTTGTGAGGATCCCATGAGAAGTCAGCTGTTCATTATGAGTATCAATTGCAGAGCAAAGGTTAATTTTGAGAGGTCACAGAAAGAAGAGAGTAAAACTTGGTCTCAAGTCTTCCACTCCAGGGTGGCTCAACCTCAGCACTGCTAACATTTGGGGCAAGGAAGGAGGTGGCTACCCTCTGCAGGAGTTCAGAAATATCCCCGCCCTTTATCCACTAGATGCCAGCTGTACCTCTATAGCATCATGACAATCAAATCTGTGTCCAGTCATTATCATGTCAGGGGGAGGGGCAAAAATCACTCCCATCTGAAAACTACTCCTCTGACTTTTTAATACTTTCTCTTCATTTTTTATCTATTTTCTCCTCCCCAAAATTGAAATGTCAATCTATCTCTAGCTTGACTTCCAACTCAATTTTTTCTTATCTCTATCCAACATAATGTCCTCTTGCTGATTCACCTACAACAGCAGTACCCTTTCCTATGCACCAAGGCTCTAAACTCTTCCTACCTCCAAAGCCAGGTCCTCTCCTTACCTTCCAAATTCTTTCCTCCTTTAAGGTGATCTCCTGGGGACAGAGCTCAGTGGCACAAGCGCCCGCCTGGCAAGCACAAGGTCCTGAGTTCTATTCCCAGTACCAAAAAAAAAAAAAAGTGTTCTCAAATGCAAGTCCTCCTTTGTGCCCTACATTACAGCAGCCTCCTCTCCTAATTCACAGCTTCTAGTCTCTCCCCCACCTCTTAGCTCTCCCCTAGGCCAACCCAAAACCATTTCCTAAAAGGCAAATTTCAAGCCCTTCTCCTTAGCAAGCTTGTATCTTAGTAGCCTACCTCTCTGCCTACTCTTCCCACTTGAAGGTCCTTCTATCTTTCAGGGTTCAATACTCCCACTTTCTCAGGTATCCCCTCTAGCCCACGCT